TGAAATTCATGATGCTCTAGAATTCGCCAGTGCTCATCCAAAGCTGGTCCAGCTCCATCCAGCAATTATGGGTGCGACACAGAGCGTTCCAGATGGACACCACCCACCCTGCCTTCTAAGCAGTCCCACTTCTGGCTTGCTTGCTTTTTTTTTGTGGCGATGCTGGATTTGAACTCAGAGCCTCACACTGCTAGGCAGGTGCTCTACTAATCCGAGCCATGCCCAACCTTTTTGCTTTGTTTATTTTTCAGGTAGGATCTTGTGTTTTTGCCTGGGGATGGTCTCAGACTATGATCCTCCTACCTCTGCCCCCTGTGTAGCTGGGAGGACAGGCATGAACCACCCTGCTCAGTTTATTGATTGAGATGGGGTCTCACTGACTTTTGCTGAAGCTGGTTTCCAACTTCGATCCTCTTGCTATCTGCCTTGAGTAGCTGGGAGCACAGGTGTGAGCTACCACGTTCAGCCTAGCTTCAGTCATTCGTTTCCACGTAGCATCCCTCCCTAAAAACTCGGCTTCTGCCCTCCATCAGTAAGGTTCGGCCTTGACAGTCTGTGCACTGGGTTCTAACCCCACAGCCTTACTGGGCCAATAAACTCTTTCTGTCAAAGACTACCAGGATCACCTTTTTTTTCTTTTTTGGCGGTACTGGGGCCTGAACTTGAGGCCTCATGCTTGCTAGGCAGGTGTTTTATCACCTGAGACACTCCACCAGCCCAGGACCACTTTCTTGGTGGGAAGTAGTTGGTCTACTTAAACCAATCTCCCAGAGCAGATGCTGAAAGTCACAGAGGAACGTGCTGCAGCCTTGCTCTCCTCAAAGAGAAAGCCTCTCCTTTCCCAGAGTAATGGGGCATGCCAGGAAGCATGCCCTGTGTCTTATGGCAGCCACAGGGACCGAACTAGAAGAGAAAGATGACTCACTGTCAAAGATGGGACCTCCTTAAATAGGATGGGCAGCACCTCGTAACCTCTCTGTACTACTGCGCCTTCTTACTCCTGTGCAACACTTAGACTCCTCCAACACAGGTCTGCTCTCACATGGCGCTAGCCACAGAGGGAGAAGACAGGTTCAAAGCTGCCTTTGATATCAGGTGGGGTATAAACCTAGCCTCCTTTATTTGCTCATCACTGGAAAATTAGGTAGAGCCATTAGAAAAACAGATCCAAGGATAATTACACCGTGACTTTCTCTTGCATACTCTGCGTTACCCCAACGCTGGCCTTTCTGATTGTCATGCCCCCATCTCTAATCAAATGTGGGACTCCGACAATACTGTGATAATCCTGGGGGTTCTGGTATACACAAGCGGAGCAGCGATGCCTCAGCAGTCAGTAAGCAAATGGCCGAGAAGGCGGCCTCAGAAGCACGCCTACCTGGACAGCCCATGAGCAGGGCATGGGCTGCTCTCAGGGCGGGAAGGGTGCTCAGGAGCAAAGGAAAGGAGCCCGCAGGAAGTGTGAACTAGCAAAGCAGGCAGCAAGGAGGAAGTGGAACCAAGTGCTGCAGCACACCAGGCTTCCTAGGCTTGCTCCTTCCCTTTGCTGCAGGGAAGGAAGTCAGATGGAACCAAGTTTCAGCATCAAGAAGGAAGGGGAGTGGGGGCTTCCCTTCCCTGGAGTCACTTCTGAGACAGTGGTAAGAAGGGAAGAGCCTGACTTACCACTCTTGGTCTGCTCTCTAGTGTGGGGATTTGCATAAAAACATAAACAATTCTCTGATTAACAAAGAGGCCTTTTAAAGCTAATGTCTGTAATCCTAGCTACCTGGGAGGTGGACAGCCCTGGCAAAAGTTAGATCCCACTTCAACCAATAAAAGATGGGTGTGGTGGTGCACACCTGTCATCCCTGTAAACAGGCTGGCTCAGGTATAAATTCTACATTCTATCCCAAAAATACCTAAAGCCCAAAGGGCTGGGTGTGTGGCTCAAGTGGGGGAGTGTCTGCCTGGCAAGCCCAAGGCCCAGGGTACAATCCCAATATCACCAAAACAAACAAACAAACAAAAACCCAAACAAAAAACAAGAAAGCGGTCCTGTAAGATGACCGTGTGATGCAGCTAGAAGCTTCACAACGTAACTTTGACTTTACAGAGGCTGCTTTCTAAAGGGTTGCCTTACTCATTTATTGACAGAGTAATCGTGTTTAAAGTAGCATTTGTGATTTTTTTCTGAAGGAATAGAAACCTCTACTTTGAATTTTTGGTTTCTCATTTTCTAACAAAAGGAGCCTTCCATGTTCAAACAAACCTGCAGTCAGTCAGTTACGTTTCACACCCAAGTTCAGCTGATGGGTGAAAGGCTCGAAGCATGAGATCAATGCATCTGCTAAAGACAGGAGGGCTGTTTAAAGGATTTCAAAAATGAAGCCCAGGCAGACTCGAGTTTGGAACTGCTTTTTCTCTAACTTCTTCCTGAACTGGAGACAGCAGCAAAAGTTGACTCCACTGGCCTGGTTTCCAGCCTAGGCTCTTTGGCAACAGCCAGCATCCTAGCCGGGCTGACCCACTTAGCACAGCACTGAGATACACACCCGGTAACCTACTGCTTGTTACAGAGCACTCGTCACCTCCAAGGCCAGCATAGGGCCATCTTTCTCCTTCAAACATAAGGCTCCTGTTCACTCCATCCTTCCAGAGCACTGTGGCTGGAGCTCAGCTGGGCTCTTCCGCGGCAGTATACACAGGAAAACCATACCGACCACCGGCTGAGGTGGGGATGACTGCATGACCGGACTCTTTGCCGTGGCACTCGAGTCATGTTTTGTGTAATGAAATAAACAAAGTAAAATGCTGGCAAGGCCAAGCACCTTCCCTCCATCAGGACCTTCGAAAACTAGTCTCGCCAAGGGAAAACTACAGACCTTCACAACAAGCTCTCAAAAGAATGACTAACAGGTTCAGTTTTAAAAACAACTCCTTGGCTTGCTTCCTAGAAAAGGTTAATTTTCCTCTTGATGAAATGTTTATTGTGGAAAATAAAACTCAAGGGAAGAAATACAAAGCACTTTTAAAATGCCACACCAAATGTGAGAGTGCTTTATTACGGTAAGAATGCCCCCCCAACTGTAGAAGCCGCTCATGGGGGACCCTCTCAGCAAGCCCCTCCCAGAGCCCAGTGCCACCTCAGTGCTGGATGAGGAACCAGCTCACAGGGATGCCCAGGGAAGGAGTGGCGGAAGTGCTGACATCAGAGGGACCTGTCTTCCGACAGGTAACTAGCACCTGGGCTGGGCTCAGGGTCACTCTAAGCAAGCAAAGCCCCTCTGCTGCACTGCAGACCTCCAAATATGTGGGGTGCCTTCACCTCCCTGACCAGACCCCAAAGCTGGAGCGGTGACAACTCCCAGTGAGGGAGGCCAGCACGACCCGACTGCTCTGGAGTTCCACAGTTGCTCAAACGTCTACTGCAGCCTTTGTGGGGAGGCATCCAAAGGCACCTGTCACTTGCCCTTGACAATACGCAGCCCAGTATATATGACCAATTTTATTTTAATGTCTGTAGCTAGGGTCTACTAGGGCTGACCTTGCTCTAGACAGAAGGAAAAAGATCTTGCTTGCCAGAAATCTGAGCAGTATGAGAAAATGCCTCATAAGTATTTCTTCAGCCCATCAGCCCCATCAATATTGCTGCAAATGCATCCTGGCAATTAGATAATGATATGCAAATCAATTTTCCAACTTATGACAGACAAAACACTTAACCCAAAATGAATGATCGACTGTAAGTGAAGGATTCATTTATTTCTTTTAAGAGTCAACAGTAAACACATTTTACTCAAATCCGGTTCACACAACTAACTGGCTTGTACTTTGTATTGTAGATATACCTAAGCTCAACTCACTAAGAAATTATACACAGCGGAGGAACCTAGTTTAAGGTTTTCCACTCGTGTGTGAATATGCGCACACATTCGTGTAGAATCATAAATCTTAAAGCCTTCTTCCAGACGTATTTGAACATTGTCATTCAGGCCAACAGTCACAAGAAATAACAAATTTCAAAACATCTTCAAATGTTAGCATCTTTTCCCTTAAAATCCAATGGCAAGAAAATGCCAAGGAATTCTTAGGTGTCCAAAAAAAAAAAATCACTTCATCAATTAGCAATGTGTTAAAAATAAATTTCATCGTTTTTAAACGGTTCAGGCTTTAAAACTCTCACGGGTTTCTAGAAATTCGTAATATGCTGAAGTATTAGAGCCTGGTAGTCTGCATTTTGCTATAAAGCCGAGCAGTGCCACCTACATTACAGGACACGGTTATATTTTTCCCCTCGGCCACCTCCTTTTCATTAGAGGATCAGCTCATCCTGCTTCACATCACGTTTTGAAATTAAACGGTCCGGGTCGGCATGAGAAGGTAAGTTAGCCAAACTAGAGGACTCACTCGCAGGGGCGTTGGATCCGAGCCTGGAGCTCCGCAGTCGGTGCGCACTAGGCTCGATTTCGGGAAACCACCAGCAAACTGTTATTTAGGGTAAAACTCTCGCTCGCAGCAGAGCTTCGGGGAACGCTGTAAGGCCGAGTGCTTACGTAAAGGGCCTGGAGATCGCACAACTTACGGGGGGAGGTGGAGGGGCGCGGTGGATGCACACGGCCTCCGCCCCAGCATCCCGGACCAAGCGGGCCCGCCCGGCCCGGCCCGGGGCGCTCCCGGTGCACCTGCAATGCGGATCCCTCTGTGCCCGCGATCCCACCCGGGGCTTGGCAGCGGCGGCCCCTCCCCGCCGAGCCGGCCAGGTGCGCACCCGACCCGGAGCCCTGCGGGCAACGGCTGCCCGACCCCGGGGCGGCGCGGGGTCCCGGAGCCCCACTTGTTTTCCCCGAGTTGTCTCCACCAAGGGGACACCGCTGCCCACCCGCACAGCCCGACAAGGGGGACAGCCCCCCTCCTCCAGGGGACAGGGTTTATTCTAAGATCAAGTGCGCCAACTCCGGTCCCCGCCGGGCCGCCAGGTGTGCGAGACTGGACTGGGCGCGCCTCGGGCCCCGCCTCACCTGCGGCGCGACCGGTGTGATCCTCAGGCGGCGACTGCCCGACTCGGCGCGATCCTCCGAGCGGGCGGCGGCGGCGGCGGCAGAGGCCCGCGGCCCATGGGCGGGGCGTGCGGGCTGCGGCCCTGCCGCGGGGGCGCCCAGGGGTCAGTGGGCGCCGCCCGCCCGGCGCATCCCGCCGGCTCTCTCGGAGCGCTCGCCGCGGTGCACGCTGGGAGCCGGCGGCGGCGAGGCCTGGCCGCGCTGACCCGTCCGACTGGGGACTCGGCGCCGGCGCGGCTGCGGGTCTGTGAGTGTGGCGAGGGGCGGGGAGCCGATAGATACTCGGTTGGGAGGGAAGGGGGCGACGCCCCGCTCCCCCCAGCTGCGGCGGGGCGGGGGCGAGGGCGCAGGGGAAGGGAGGGCCGGCGGTGGGACGCAGGCGCACAGCTCAGGTGCGGCTGCACTGCGGTTGCCCTGGGTAACGCGGGCCTGGGCGAGGGGGTGTGGGAAGGGGTGGAAGAGGGGAAGCGAACGGGAGCGCGCGCGCCGAGCGCCGGAGGTGGGGGCAAGAGGGGCGGGGCGCGGGCCTTGCAGTGCGCATGCGTGCGGCGCCCGTTTCCCCAGGGCTCGCCGGCCTCGTGCGTGCGCACGCGCGCCGTCCCCCGGAGGCGTCTGGGTGTGCGGAGCGCGCGCGCGCGGCTCGGAGGCGCACCTGTGAGGTGTCCCCGGAGGAGAGGGCGGGTGGGCGCGCGGAGTCCGCGGCCTGGGGCGCTCACCGCCCGTACTTGGAGTGAGTTGGGCGGCCGCGCCGTAGTCCGTGTTTTCTTTTCTGGATGGGGCGTGGGCCAGCGAGCGGGCTGGGGGCGCTGGAAGGCGGTGCAGTGGGTTAAAGAAAAGGAAAACAACCCATCGCTCGGGACGGGCCTGGGCCGCGGCCGGTCCCAGGGGACCGCGGGGAACGAAGGTCAGAGCGGCGCCCGCAGCGGTACAGGCCCCGGCCGAGCAGCCGACCCCGGGGCCTAGGAGGCGGTCGTGGCCCGCAGAGCCGGCGCGGGGTGTGCAGATGGCGGCGAGGCGCCGGGTGGGCAGCGGCGGGGCGAGGCCGGCGAAGGCCCCGCGGGAGCCGGACTCCCGAGCCGGACTCCATTGTTGTTGGAGCCGAGGGAAGGGGGAGCACGAGGCCCTGGAGGCCGTGGGGCCGCGCCTTGGAGCCGTTCCAGGCGGGTCCCGGGAGGGCGGTAATGGCCGCGCGGCGGGCCGGGGCGCCGGGTGGCTGCGGAGCGGAGCGGCCTGCTGCAGGGTGCGGTGCCATGTGCTTCACCGCAGAGCCTCCGGGTCCGGTCCGACCCGGCCCGGCCACCCGGCGGTGCGCAGGTGGTGAGGGACGCCTGGCGCTCCCGGCGCGGAGGGCTGCCGCCGCCGGACACCTCCATTGTTTGGCCGCGGCGAGGGCCAGGCTGGCAGGTAAACGGTCTCCGCGCCCCGCCGTCCCCGGTCCCATGCTGCCTCGCTTTCCTCCCCGTACCCGGCTGCCGGTGAGCTCCACAGAGCCGCCCTCCCAGATCGTCCCCCCGGGTCTCGGCCAGGTCACCTCCCGTGTCCCTCCAACTCGGCTCCTTTGTGAGCCCTTTCGTGCGGACTCGAGCACATCCAGGAGATGTGTCCTGCACCGGGAGAGTTGATAGTTTGTTGATTGCCTGTCTTACTGCAACAAAGGACACCCGAGGTGGACGAGAGACTTCCAGCGCTTGTCTCCTTACAGAGGCGTTTTGGGGTACTGAGCACTTTATTGATATTTTCCCGGGACGGACCTGTTTTTAATGTATCGTGTCTTCTGTAGAGGGCTCACTACTTCCTTTATAGACTTGTAGGTTTTCAGAGCAGACAAGAGACCTTTCTGTCCAACCTATAGGTTAATTTACAGTTAAAAAAATTTAGGATCAACAGAGTAATGTATTTTCTTCTTAAACACGAGTGAATCACAGAGATGGCCAGTGTGGCTGTCATCTGCAGAGATGATAACTAGATAATTAGTTCGTGTCTGGTGAGCATCCTTCTAGGTCTTTAAAATACTTTTTGGGGGATACTGACATGGTCTTTGACTGCTTTAACAAATACTAACTAGTCCTCTGTCTTTTCGTTTTTACCATAGAATGAGTGGACTGTTTTTAAGAATGACTGCATGTGTTCCATAGTTTGGGCATTTCAGTTTTTAACTTTAAAGCAGTTTTTTCTTTTTCTTTTTTTTTTTTTTTTAATAAGTGGTGGTTCTCTGATGAGATGGAACTTTAGTGAAGGGAGCACAGATCTGTACTAATTACAGAGTTGAGGGGTTTATGATGGAAACTCTCTTTGGTTAAGGATTTACAGGTGGGAACCTCCACCCCTCCCCTGAGGGAGTTATGACTGTACTACTTAGAAGTTCTGTGGCCTTGGGGAGAACACTTAATCACAGCCAAGCCTCAGTTTTCTGTGACCAGTGACAGTGCCTGCTCCACAGAGGTCAGTGGTACTGGTGGAAGTGCTTGGTAGACTGCAAAGCAGAGAGCAAAGTGCCATCCACAAATTGTTCATCGGTAATTTGATTTATTTTTTCAGCAGATGTCCCAGGATACTAGAGACAGTTAACTTTGAATGCTTTTTAATGTGTGGCTTTGTTAGGATTTTTTTCTATCAGATAGGATTTCTTTCCTCATGACGTAAATTGTACATGTTTTCCTGTGGCAAAGATAGATTCACGGACAGCAGATTCTCACTGAATTTGAGTTCAGAGTTTTACCAGTTTCAATAGTGACCATGTGCTGTGGTAGGTAGCATTTTAGGGGCTTTGTATATGTTTCTTACATTCAGACAAATATAAGTCCTTGTAGTGTGGCCAAAGGAGTCCACTTATCCCTGTTCTCAGAGTTTTGAGTCTTGGGGGAGGGCAAGAAGGCGAAATGAACACAGTCTTCTGGGAAAGCATAAAGATGGGAAGCACAGTTGAGTTTGGGGTTCACAAGACTTTGCAAACAGAAGATTTAGGCTCAGAGTTGAAGGGTGAGTCCCTGTGTTGGTGTCCAGGCAGAGGAACAGCATGTGGGAAGGCCCTGAAGGGGGAAGAGCCCTGCCCCTTCCGGATTGAAGGAACCACTGGGTTGGTGGTGGTGGGTAGGGGAGTGTGGCCAGGCTGCCAGACCATGTAGGGTCTTGCCCGGCAGGTTGGGGATGTTGCCTTTCATTCTGGGTGAAAGGGGAACCCATTATGAAGGTTGGGTTAAGCAGGCAGTGACATAACGGAGGAGGTTTGCATTTTTAACGCCATTCCAGTTGCCTCATGCAAAGTGAGGTGGGGAGGGCAAGTGGGGAGCCCAAGCCGTTTCACAGGCTTGGTTTATGGTGACTTTGTAGTAGAGGCAAAATAGATGTTAGTTAAAAAAAAAAAATCCACATCCTTACTTTAAAAATTACGACTAATAAAGGTAGGAATAAAAAGACATTTTTAAATGGAAAAGTACACATAAATGTTAAACTAGTCCATGCTGTACTTAATAAAAAAGTTAAAAATTGGTACTTTACTTACCATGTTTTATAAGTTTTGAGAAGGCTGTAGCACGTAGGAATTGGGTGTCTAAAGTGAAGGGAAATATTTGTGGGTGCTACTGACTGGAGTGGGAATAACAGAAAACGTTTGGACAAAAACAGATGAAGTGACTGGGTCTGCCGTGCATGTATGAACAGCATAGTTTCCTGGAAGCCAAAAATAACCTAACAGAATAAAATGGAAGAAGCAGACATCTGGCTATGACCATATTACAATAGAAAGAAAGCTTACAACCCATAGGGACCCACAGCACAGAGACGTAAAACATCCTGGGTGACCTGAAAGATACCTAGTGTGAGGATAGGCCACATTACCGGATGTGAGGGTTGACTGCCACGGAAGACAGAATAGCTACAAGTATTGACGTGGGGCAGATGTTTGGTTGTTTTATGCTCCTGGCTTAAAGGTATTTGTACAGGTCACTGGAACCTGTTCACACCAAGAAATAAACTATTTTATGTGGAAATTTAGTACATGAGAATGCATCATGAGTGCCCTAGAGTCTGGGGAAGATGGACGCCCGTGTTGAACATCTGGAAAGAGGCGTTGTGTGTGTTGAGCACAGGTTTTGTAGCCAGTTGTCCTTAACATGGAGTCTTTTGTGGAAAGTAGCCCTGGTGGTGGTGGATTTAATTACTTTGCAGCACTGGGGATTGAACCCAAGGCCTTGCACTTGAGGCACTCTACCACTTCAACTATGCCCCCAGCCCTTTCGATTGTATTTTGTTTTCTGAGCCATGGCGTTGCTTGCTTTGCCTGGGCTGGCCTCAAACTCAAGATCCTCCTGCCTCTGTCTCCTGAGCAGCTGGGATTACAGTGTGCACAGCTACAACTCGCTTTTGTATGTGTTACTAGAGTGAGGGATAAAGGCCCTGGCACCTGCAGGGAGCTTGAATCTTGTTAGTTGGTACTGTTAGAAACAGTGTGAAGAAGATAAAGTAATTAAAAAAAAAGATTGCAGTAGACTACATGAAAATCTAAGACTTCAGGAAAAACTACAGTCAAGAGCCAAATCACCAAGTTGGAAAATACTTGTGACACATCTTTAAATTGTAAAGGACTCATAACATTCATTGATTATTAAATTATCAGTAACTGCTCTTACAGAAGTAAGATTCTATGTTCAACAGCAGCAAGATTGGAAGACATTTAAGAACAGAGTGAGTGATCCAGGCAAGGTGATGCACACCTATAATCAGCACTTGGGATGCAGGGGCAGCAGGATCTCGAGGTGGAAGCAAGCTTGGGTAGCATAGTAAACCCTGTCTCAAAAGGAAAGAAAGTACGTGTACCAGGGCTTTGTGAAGAATAGTAGAACCTTTTGTCTAAATACCTGAGAAGTTGACTAAAACAATGGATAGACATTTTAAGAAATCCATGGTGTTCTCAAAGGAAGACATAAGCTATGTGAGCGGAGTCTCTTGCAGCATCATTTACGGTGAAGAAAGCAGTTTTGGTGCTAATGTGGAATATTTAGTTTCAGGGTTTTTTGCTGTTACAGAGGCTGAACTCGGGGCCTTGGCTAACAGATGCTCTATTGCTTGAGCCCCACCCCTTGCCCTTCCCCTTAGTTATTTTTGGGGTAGGGTTTTGAGTTTTTGTCTGGTACCAGCCTCAGACTGTGCTCTTCCCACCTAGGCCTCTACTGCATAGCTGGGATGACAGGTGAGTGCTGCCGTGCCTGGCTTATTGAGATAGGGTCTTGTTAACTTTTCTCTTGTCTG